CGGAGACACAGCCGCCGGAGCCGGAACCCCAGGTGGGAAGGAAAGGGTGGAGCCCTGTGCCCCGCTGCTGTAGCGCACCATGGGGGCCGGGGCCGCAGCTCGCCCTCCCCGCCGCTCGCCCCGCGCGGCCCCCCGGCCTCCCCGCCCACTGGGCGCCGCAGTTTTAGTGAGGCGTTCGATAGTCTGGTTCTTGTGCTCCTCCGCCCGCCGTGCCGCCTGCAGCCGCCGCTTCCGCGCCCGCTCCTCGCGTTTCAGCAACATCTCCTCGGTGAGGGCGGGAGCCGGGCAGCCCCCAGACACAGGCAGCTGCAGCATCGGAGAAGGCTGACTCCGGGCCTTCTGGAGCAGAGCTCTCTAAAGAGAGAAAGAGACGGGGTGGTGTCTGAAAATGGATGAAGACAGAAGCAAAGTCTGCCATATCCCAGGAAGGGAAGAGGGCACATAGAAGGCAGGGTCTTGAGTGCAGGCGTTGGGAAGAGTATTAATGAGCACCCTCTCTAAGGGTCCCGTAATACTTCCGCCACCCGGGTCGCCATTCATTCATCTTAGGGCCTTGACTCGCACAGGGAAAAGTATCAGTAATGTTACCTGCCTGACTTGGGTATCAGAACTCTCTGTACCACCTGTCTGTACCACTTGTTTTTAATATTATTTTTTAATTTGAGCAGAGAGGGAGGAAAAATGAGAATGCAAGCCACCAGGTCTGGGCCTTGAACCGCAGTCGACCATGTGGGAGACCAGCACCTTAACTACCGTACTACCTAGTGCCCCTCCCCACAGGTTTCTCGGTATTGTTTTTTATCTTTTTTTAAAAATAACTATTTTATTATTTATTCATTCATTCATTGATTTTTAATTTGACCAGAGAGAGACAAGAGGGTGAGAGAGAGAGAGAGAGAGAGGAAGTGAGAAAGCAAGCCACCAGGTCCAGGACTTGAACCCTGGTCAAACATGTGGAAGTGCCCAGCGCCTTAACCACCACGTCACCTGCTGGTCCCATATCCTTTTATCTTAATAGCACCTACTGGGTAACTGCTCAAGTCAGAAATTCAGAGTTACCCTTGATTCCTCTTTTCTCCACCCTCCTCCCCAAGTATCTACTTCCAAAATATATCCAGAATTCATCTGATTTCTCCATCTCCACTTCTGCAATCTTGGTTCATGTCATGACCATCTCTCAGCTATTTCAGCAGCTTCTTAGCTGGTCTCCTGCTCCTTTTCTCTTATCCCCATGAAGACACATTCTCTAAGCAGAAGCCAAAGGACTCTCTGGAATGTAGTAAAACAGATATGTCTCTTCTCTGCATTCAACCCTTCAGTGGCTTAGTCACACTTTTCTCCTTCACCCTGCTAGGCATGTTCCAGTTTCAGGTTCTTTGAACTTGCTTCTTCACCTGAAAAGTACCTCTAATAGAAATGTTCATCTCAGAGAAACCTTTATCAGAAATATGCATATAGTGGCATGGTCAAGCTGCAGAACCTTTTCAATTTCTCTGTCCTGTTCGGATTTTGGGTACACTTTTATTTTAATTTTTATTTATTTGTTTATTTATTTAGAGAGGTTTTTGCTATAGGGCATGTGCACTCACCAGAAAGACAGAGACAGAAGTGAGAAATCACCTCCCCCCCCACCGGGGGGATGGCCACGCCGCAATCCCTTCTACTCCATTCACCTCTTGGGATCTTGGGCACACATACACCTGGCGTGAGTTTAAGCCACTGGGTCGACTACATGGGAGTCTAGCAACGTAGCCATTATGTCATCTGCTGGTCCCAGTTTTTTTTTTTTTAAGATTTTATTTAACTTTATTTTATTATTTTTCTTTATAGTACTTTTTTTTTTTGAGAGGTTTTTGCTATAGGGTACGTGCACTCGCCAGAAAGATACAGAGAGACAGAAAGCGAGAAATCACTCCCCAGGGGGTGATCCCTTATTTTTCTTTTTCTTTTTTTTTTTTTACTTTTTTTTTTTAGAGGTTTTTGCTATAGTGTACGTGTGCTCGCCAGAAAGAGAGAGACATGGGACCAGTAGTTAGCATAATGGCTGTGTTGCTGGACTCCCATGTGGTAGACAGCGGTTGGAGTCCTGGACCCAGTGGCTTGAAACTCATGCCGGCCGCATGTGCGTGCGTGCCCAAGATCCCGAGGGCAGAATGGAGGAGAAGGGATTGCGGTGTGGCCTCTCGCTTTCTGTCTCTCTGTCTCTGTCTGTCTGGCAAACGCACTCGCCCTATAGCAAAAACCTCTCCAAAAAAAAAAAAGAAAAAGAAAGACAGAGACAGAAAGCGAGAAATCAGCCCCCCAGGGGGGATGGCAACGCCAAAATCCCTTCTCCTCCATTCTCCTCTCATGATCTTGAGCACGCATGCACACACACCCAGCGTGAGTTTAAGCCACCAGGTCCACGACTCGAACCGCAGTTGACTACATGGGAGCCCAGAGACATAGCCATTACGCCAACTGCTGGTCCCTATTTATTTATTTTAATTTGACCAGAGTGAGACAGAGTGAGAGAGAGAGGGAAAGCGAGAAAGCAAGCCCTTAGGTCTGGGACTCAAACCACAGTTGGCCATGCGAGTCCAGCACCCTTAACCACAATGCCACCAGTTGGCCCCCTGGAGTGTTTTTTAAGCCACCAGGGCTGGGCTTAAAACTGTGCAGCTGCCATTTGAAATCCTTCTCTCTTAACCACTAGGCAATAGGCAGCCCCCCATTACAATTTTTTCTTCTTTATTCAAAATAGAACATATATGTGTGCACATTAAAGTGAGAAAGAGAGAGAGGGGAACACTCTCCAGAGTCTGGATATGCCTCCATCCCCTCCCTCAAGTCCTCCAGCCTATTGGATCCTGGGCACTTGCACACATACCTGGTGCGTTTCAGGCTGATCCACCGGGGGCTTGAACCTCGGTGGCCAGGACCAAGAACCCGTTCTCTTCAGTAGTGCATTACTGCTGCACCATGAAACTGAGCTCTCTGACACCCTAGTTAATGTTGTTTCTCCCACCACTCTGTTCATCACCCTATATCTTCCTGCCATGAACCTTACAGCTCTAAACCGCTTACTTATTTTCTTCCCCCACCCTAAACATACACAGTAGAATACTAATTCTGGGGACCAGCAAGTAGTGTAGTGGTTAAGGTGCTGGACTCTCACATGGCCAACCACAGTTCAAGTCCTGGACCCAACAGTTTGAAAGTCATGCTGGGCGCGTGTGCACGCATGTCCAAAGTCCTGAGAGGAGAATGGAGGAGAAGGGATTGCAGCATGGCTATCCCCTCTGGAGGGTGATTTCTTGCTTTCTGTCTCTCTGGCAAACACACAGACCCTATAGCAAAAAAAAAGAAAAGAATACCAAGTGCTGGCCCTTCTGCCTCAATAGTCATTGGAGAGCCGCAGCTATGGCTCTGTGGTACCCCATGGCCATGGGCCTCAACACGGGCCACAAAGTGACCAAGAACATGACCAAGCCAAGGCATAGCCGCCACTGTGGGTGCCTCACCAAGCTCACCAAGTTCGTGCGCAACATGACCCAGGAGGTGTGCAGCTTTGCCCCCTACCAGTGGCACGCCGTGGAGCTGCTCAAGGTGTCTAAGGACAAGCAAGCCTTCAAGTCCATCAAGAAGCAGGTGGGGACACACATCCGTGTCAAGAGGAAGCTGGGGAGCTGAGCAACGTGCTGGCTGCCATGCGGAAAGCGGCTGCCAAGAAGGACAGAACCCAACCGGTGCCAATAAAGCTGACTTAACGCCCCCCCCAAAAAAAAGAATACCAATTCTGTGAGAACAGAAACCTTGCCTTCCTTTTCTCCTACTGATATCCCTGATACGTAGAAAGTTCTCAGCTACATTTGGTGAGTGAATAGAGAACACATTTACCTGTCGAGCAGTGAGGAGTCGCTCATTGATCTCTTTCTTGAGATCTCCATTGTCATCCAGCTCCCCCTTCTCCAGGGCATCTAGCCACCTCTGTTCTTCTTCTTCCTCTTGACCGCCTAACCCCCCTGACAGGTCCTGAAGTGGTGAGGGAGACAGGTTACTGTCTTCATCTGGGAAAGAAAGTTAGAGAAAGGTAGAGAGAGTTGTAAAGATGGGGCATCCTAATTTGGTCAGGTTAGTGCTGGGATATTCAACATTCTCACCCACTTCAGAACCAATTCTCTTCCCATAGTCAGTTATGTGAACCCCAGTTTCCCCACCTCCAGATCCTCCTCACCCAGCCAGGCACGGTACTGCTCAAGAGGGACTCCTTCCATAGGTTCCTCTTCATTATCCACAACCATAAGGGGAGAGGGTGAGCGAGGGCCCTCGGGGATCACAGTGAATGTAGGAACGCTGCGGAGAAGCAATACTCTGTAATCATCAAGTGTCTCCCACTCCCGCCTAGTGGCCCACATCTCACCTTCCTCACCCTCTTGGGTTACTGCTACCTTAACCTGAGCCCTGAAGTCACAGTGTGGATTCTGTCATCTATTAATAGAAAGCTCACCCAGTGTCTAACTTGGATGTCTATCTGCTCCTAAAGTTTCCCCCAAGTAACACCCCGCCCCCCATACACACAACCTCTTGGATCCTCACCTCTTAGTGCCCAGAACCTGTCCTCCCAGCTTGATTTTGAGTTTGAGCTGGGGTTTGGCAGGAGACGGTTGCGTAGGCCCGGACTCCTCTTCCTGGTGGTGTTTCTTCTTGTGTTTCTTCTTGTGCTTTTTGTGCTTTTTCTTGTGTGCTCCGTGGCCATGGGCACCAGCCAGGCTCAACTCCAGCGCTTCCCCTGCGGAAGGAGGGTCTATCAGCAGTGTTTGGTCAGAGCCCAGCAGGGGAAGCCCTGAGTAACCCAATACCCCAGAGGGATCCCACTTTTTCCACGGTACTGTTACCATAACAACAGCGCCGCCTTTCTGCTTCCCACCTGTGGAGAAACGCCCGGAAACTCCGAGGAGCGAGAAAGGGATTTTCTTTCTGAAAAAATGTCTAAACGGCTGGTCCGACCCGCTTACCTGGCTCGGGGGCCTCCATAGCCCCAGAGGTGCTTCCGCGCCGCCACAGCTTACTCATTGGGTCCTGCAGGGAAAGGGGACTGGAAACAGCGGGGGCACTTGCAGACATACCTTTTCCGCCCTGCGAAAAAACTAACTCCCAGCAAAATCACCGGCCACTTCCGGCGCGTGACAACCATATCTGTGCGGGGCATGCTTTGAGGCCAAAGTCTTCCGTGGGAAACAACCATCCTTGCAACCGAAGTTCCGATTCCTTGGAGGCCGGGTGGCACAAAAGAGAACGGCTCGCTCCGCCTCCGCACCTTCGATTCCAAGCTTTGGTGCGGGCGAGACAATTGCTACGCTCAAACTTGGTACATTTACATTCCGGACCGAGTGCGGAGCGGAGGAGGGGGGATTGGCTAGGAGGATCCAAAGGTACCTATAAAAGCCTCCTGCCACTGTAGGAGTGCTCTATAAATGATAGGCAGAAAGGCAGAAGTGCTTAACGGCGTGGCCTCGCCAGAAAGAGACAGAGAGACAGAAAGCGAGAAATCACCCCCCAAGGGGATGGCCACGCCGCAATCCCTTCTCCATTTTCCTCTCCGGACCTTGGGCACGCACGCACATGCGCCTGGAGTGAGTTTAAGCCACCGGGTTCGAGACTCAACTGCTTTGACTACATGGGAGTCCAGCGACATAGCCATTACGCTAACTGCTGGTCCCTACTCTCACGTTTTTAAACCTAATTTCTCAACAGGGAAATGGTTAAATGAGTAATGGTGCAACTATACAATTTAGGACACCATATTTTCTTTTTGAAGAATTATTTTATTTAGGGGCCGGCAGGTGATGTGGTACTTGAGGGCACTGGACTCCCACATGGCTCACTGCGGTTCAAGTCCAAGACTTGGTGTCGTGCTTTCTCACTTTACTTCTCTCTCTCTCTTGCACTGTCCCTCCCTGGTCAAATTAAAATAAGTAAATAAATAAATAAAGTTAACTCCATTTATTTATTTTAATGTGACCAGAGAGGGAAAAGAGAGAGCCCCATGAAAAAAAAAAAAAAAAGATGGATTGTAATTTAGGCCCCAGTTGGTAACAGCACTGGACAGAATCTAAGGGTCCCTCTAATGGGACATCAAAATAAATTTGCTACACCCACCCAATGGGATGCTACAGTTATTTAAAGAAATGAGGTCCCAGAAGGATACCTTGGAAACTGGTGATAGCAATTGGTGAAGGGTGGTTGGGGAAATAAGGGTGAAGGGAGATTTAATTTCATAAGATATCCTTTAGCACCTATTGAATGTTTTATAAAACCTGTATATTTACCTAATTTAAACACACACACAAAAACAAAGTAGATCTATATGTATGTGCTGGTATATGAAATGAGAAAATCTAACTCCAAGATAATGTGACCTCTGGGGACCCGCAGATGACATAATGGTTACGACGTTGGACTCTGCTGTAGTCGACTATGGTTGGAGTCCCAGATCCTGCGGCTTCAAACTCATGCTGGGCACATGTGCATGTGTGCCCAAGATTCCAAGAGGAGAACGGAGGAGGAGAAGGCATTGCAGAGTGGCCATCCTCCGGGAGAAGGGGCGGGGGGATGATTTCTCGCTTCCTCTCCGTTGAGCGCATGCGCACTATAGGAAAAAACTCTAAAAAGAGATAGTGATCCCATTTTAAAAGGCATAAATACTAGCATATGTATAGAAAAATCTTGAGGAATGTGTATATTCTCATACTATTAATGCCAGTTATCTTCAGAAGTTTGGGTTGTGGAGGGACCAGCAGTTGGCGTAATGGCTGGGGCGCTGGACTCCCATGTAGTCTAATGCAGTTCGAATTCCGGACCCAGTGGCTTAAACTCACGCCTCCAGAGACGAGAATGGAGGAGAAGGGATTGCGGCGTGGCCATCTCCCCAAGGGGTGATTTCTTGCCCCCCCCCCTTTTTTTTGGAGAGATTTTTGCTATAGGGTGCATGCGCTCGCCAGAAAGAGAGAGACAGACAGACAGAAAGTGAGAAATTCCCCCCGGGGGGGGATGGCCATGCCGCAATCCCTTCTCCTCCATTCTCCTCTTCGGATCTTGGGCACGCACTCACACGCACTGGCGTTGAGTTTAAGCCACCGGGTCCGGGACTCCAACTGCGGTCAACTACATGGGAGTCCAGAGACATAGCCATTATGCCAACTGATGGTTCCACTGGCTTTCTGTCTCTCATCTCTGTCTGTTTTCTGGTGAGCACACACACCCTATAGCAAAAACCTCTAAAAAAGAAAAAAGAAGTTTGGGTTGTGGAACTTTCACTCTCTAGGTCTGTAATGAATTTTCTTATACCCAGTACATACCATATTTATTTTAATGGAATAGTTTTTAATTATTTATTTATTTATTTATTTATTTTATTTTAAAATTTGTTTTAGAGAGATTTTTGCTATAGGGCACATGTGCTTGCCAGACAGAAAGAGACAGAGAGACAAAACACAAGAAATCATCCCTGGCAGAGTGGCCACGCTTCAATCCCTTCCCCTCCATTCTCTTCTCAGGATCTTGGTCACATACGCACATGCACCCAGCATGAGTTTTGAGCTGCGGGTCTGGAACTCAAACCACAGCCGACTATGTGAGAATCCAGTAATATAACCATTACGCCATCTGCTGGTCCCATGGAATAGTTTTTATTTTTTTTTTAATTTAAAAATTTGCTACAGGGTGCACGTGCTGAGCTGTGGTGATGGGGAGTAGAGAGAAAGCAACCCCCAGAGGGAATGGCCACACTGTAGTCTCTTCCATTCTCCTCTCAAGATTTTGGGAAACACCCAGTGTGTTTTTCATGTTGCTGGGTCTGGACTTGAACCACACAGTTGGCTATGTGGGATTCAGCCACCCCAACCACTAGGCCAACACCTGGCTCTCAAGAGGAAAACAACACACACATACACACACACACCCCTATATACATACATATATCTAAATATATTGAGTGTCTAAACAAGATAGCAAAAGTGAACGAATAAAGGATTTAAAGAACTGATTCAAGAGATATTGCAGTAATAAGATTATCAAGATCAATGAGCGATTATGTATGGGAATTCAGGAAGAAGTCAATGTAGTGTGTGTTTAAGAAAATGGACTTTGGAGTCAGCCAAGCCTATTAGCAAATCTGAGCAGCACACTTTGCTAGCTGTGCAACCTTGGTCTCAAAGTTAGTTAAGCTCTCTGAACTTCAGATTCCAGCTTTGTAAACTGGAATGAAGTGGGATCTACCTCATAGGGCTCTTTCAAGGAATAAAGCAAATCAAGAATGCAGAATGCTAGCCTGGTCTCCACAGTGCAGTCAGTAGCATGCTGAACTGCAGGGCTGGAAGACACATGGTTGAGCCCTGGCCTAGCTGACCTGAAGCATGTCAGACAGGTGTGTGCCGAAGGTCCTGATTAGCTGAGGGGTTAGAGCAAAGGACTGTGGAGTGACAAGATCCTTTTGAGGGTGCTTGTCGTGCGCTCTCTCCTACTTGCACACATGCTCTCTACCACAAATTAAAAAAAAAATACAAAGGGTAATATTGAGCATATAGTAGATGCTTCAATAAGTAATAATAATAATAAACAACGTCTAGATTTCTAGCCCAAGTATTTAGAGGGAAGGTGGTGTTTTCAATAAAGAAAGAAACCTAGGGAGAGAAACAAGCAAGAAGGGAATCATTTAGTTTTGCCCCAGATAAACCGAGATGGAATAGCTAAGGAGAAGCCAATGCTGAAGGTGTAAAGTGGGGAGGGTAATGTAAGAATGGAGGACCCCTGCCCAGGGCTGAGATAGAAGACACTCCAGAAAGAGCAAGTAGGTGAAGAAGAAAAGGACCAGGGACACAGCTGAGGAAGCATCTGCTCTGGACAGGCAGACAGGGGAGTCAGGCAGGGCTGAGGAGAGATCAGGAGGAGGTTTCGGTGACAAGCATCCACAGTCTCGCGAGGCAGGCTGAACTCTGAGAAGGGGTGCGTGTTATTTCAGTAGGGTGCAAAGGCGGTACTCCTATGGCACCACAAGTTAAAATGAGAGGTCACGTACAGTTAGTATTTGTAGAACACGTTTGAGTTTATAACCTGCTTTTGTCTCTCTTCTTTCCCCTGACCTCCACAGCAGCTCTATAAAGAAGATATTATTGTTCTCATCTTACAAACGAGGAAACTGAGACTCAGAGGGATAAAGTGTTTTGACGAAAGTTACACAATTAGGGAGTAGCAGAGCTGCCCTCAAACGGAAACTTCCTGACATGGGACCCAACAACGTTTCCTCTGCATCCTGATGTCCAGCAGGGAGGAAGTGGCGACAGTGAGTGGTAGCCGACTTCACTATTCTGCTTTGTGTTTAGTTTTGCTTTTTTGCTTTGTTTAGAGTGCGAGAGATTTGAGTGTTTTTTTTTTTTTAAGAGAGATTTTTTTGCTATATGGCACATGTATTCACCAGAGAGACAGAAAGTAAGAAATCACCTCCCAAGGAGCATGGCCACACCGCTATCCCTTCTCCTCCATTCTCGTCTCTGGATGTTTGGCACACATGCACACGCGCCCAGCATGAGGCATGAGTCTGAAGATGCCAGGTCCGGGACTAGAACCATGGTTGACTATGTGGGAGTCCAGCGACATAGCCATTTCGCCATCTGCTGGTCCCTTGAGCATGTTTGAAGGCTGAGGACAACTCTTCCTTCTGAAGAGTTAGTGGCCTTGGGAACCAGCAGTTAGCGTAATGGCTATGTCGCTGGACTCCCACGTAGTCGACCGTGGTTCGCGTCCCGGACCTGGTGGCTTAAACTCACGCCGGGCGCTTGTGCATGCGTGCCCAAGATCTCGAGAGGAGAATGGAGGAGAGGGGATAGTGGCATGACCAACCCCCCTTGGGGTTGATTTCTCGCTTTCTGTCTCTCTGTCTCTCTGTCTCTCTCTCTCTCTGTCTGGCGAGCGCATGCGCCCTATAGCGAAAAACCTCTCGAAAAAAAAAAAAGAGTTAGTGGCCTTTTCTTTTTTGGGGGGGTGTATGTGTAATAATTTATTTTGAAATAATTTTAAACTTACAGATAAATTACAAGTACAAAGGGCTCTTTATCCTTAAACCAGACCCTGAGATCGTTCATATTGACCCAGGGCCAGGTGGTGGCTCAGTGGTAGAAGCACAACA